TGATGAGAAAATAAGTAACAAAGCTGGTGTTCGTAGATTGGAGCAAGAAAAAGTACACTAGGAGGTTCAGGTTGAATCAAATGTTTTCAACCTCTATCTAAAAACTGAATAGGATGGATATGGCCGCATAAAGGTGCTGAACATTCTTAATTAAGTGATTTCTTTATCCTTCTATAAATTCCCAAAGTTCCAAAAGGCCTAGCTTAATTCTGTAGCTTTACCTACCTCTTTTATTTATTACACATCATCTCTCTGCAAACACTGCACTAGTCTAGGCACCAAGACTAAAAAAAGAAAGATGGGCATTGTACCTATCCTCACAAAGATTATTCTACTTAGATTTCTTTTTAGTGTTCTCTTTTTTAAATGTGTATTTATTCATTCTGGGGAGAGAGAGACGGAGAGAGAGACAGAGAGAGAGAGAGACAGAGACAGAGACATTGTGCGCGCACAAGCAGGGGAGGGGCAGACAGTGAGGGAGACACAGAATCTGAAGTAAGCTCCAGGCTCCAAGCTGTCAGCACAGAGCCCGAAGTGGGGCCTGAACCTATGAACGTGAGATCATGACCTGAGCTGAAGTCGGGCACTTAACCAACTGAGCCGCCCAGGTGCCCCAAGATTATCCTAGTTTGTTTAAGCAATTAAGCAAAATAATTACAAACTCTCGGAAGTGCTATGATGAAAAGAAGACGTGTTGCAGCAGAAAATAAGACTTGACAGGTGCCCACTTCAGACAAGGTTGTGAGGAAAAAGTGCTGTCTAAATTGAGAAATGATGTGGGGTGCCTGGGTGGCTCAGTTAGTTAAGTGTCTGACTGCTGATTTTGGCTCAGGTTATGATCTCAAGGTTTGAGAGACCAAGCCCCACATCGGGCTCTGCGTGGAGAGCATGCAGCATGCTTGGGATCCTCTCTCTCCCTCTCTCTCTGCCCCTCCCCTGCTTACTCTCTCTCTCTCTCAAAATAAATAAACACTAAAAACATAAATACACTGAGATGGGGCAGCTGGGTGGCTCAGTCAGTTAAGTGTCTGACTCCTGATTTTGGCTCAGGTCATGATCTTACAGTTTGTGAGTTTGAGCCCCACACTGGGCTCTGTACTGACAGTGTGGAGCCTCTTGGAATTCTCTCTCCTTCTCTCTCTACCCCTCCCGTGCACTCTCTGTCTCTCAAAATAAATAAAAAAAATATTTATCAACAAAGAAAGAAACAATGGAATGGAAGCCGTGCAAAAACCGGGAGATGAGCTGCCCAGGAACGGGACACATCATGATCAAAGGCCCTGTGGGGAGGCAGACAGCTAGAATGAAGTGAGTGAAGTGTGAGAGGAGAACAGTGGCCCCAAGCTGAGAATGGAGAAATGCACAGGATGTAGGCCATGGTGCATTCTGCATTTTAAGTGTAAAATGAAGCCCCTAAAAGTTTTAATAAAGGAATGACATGATTCAAGTTACACTGTTAAAAAGATATTCTGAGATTTTGTTCTGATAACAGTGGAATAGCATGTATCACACTAAGCTCCCCAGAACAGCAGTTATAAACTGGACAAAGTACAAAAAAAGCAACTGCTGAAGGTATTGGAGAGCAATCAAAAGCAGACAGAAATGGGAAAGGATGTGACCTTTGAAAGGAGGCAATATGCTGAGTGAAATCTATGTTTTTCAAGGGCTTTCTCCTCAATTCACACAATGCACAGTGGATAGAAACAAGCAGAAAACTAGTTGTGTTGGATTGAAGAACTGAGGGAGAAATCGGAGACTGTCAGAATGGCTGGATATTGAGGAAGATCCTGGAAAAGAAGGAATCACGGTGGAGGGACACCCCAGTTGCACATCTAAACTGCCCTCAAATCCTTGGCTGAGCTCTGAACTATGCACGTGTAGGAAAGACTCAAAAGAGTCAAGGGGGTGGTGGGGGAGGGGGGAGGAAGGGGGGGGGAACAACTGCTGAGAGGCTGAAGAAGCTGCCTGCTACGGGGGAGCTGGTGTGGCACTCGAGTCCCACACCAAGGTAAACACCTTGGGTTCTCCACCAAAACTTTAGAAGGGTCACACATGATTTAGAAGTAAAGGCTGAATTTAAGAGGAGTACAGAGAAGTATTCACTCGATTTGTCAAGATGAAAGCCAACTCCCAAACCAACTCAGTATAGGGGTGGGGATGAGAGAGAATGCAGAGAAGTCCAGTGAATGAGAAAATAACTCTTTGGAGAAGTTCTGTGTATGGAGGAATTGGGTTGGGGAAGTTTTATCAGAATGGGAAACACTAGTGTAAGTCTGTATTCTTGTAAGAATGGTCCAATAGGGAGGGAGAACTGGATGATGCAGGAGAGTGAGGGAATCACAGTGTGGTCCACAGACCAGTAGCATTAGCATCACTGGAGCTTCTTAGAAATGCAGACTCTCCACCCCAACCCCAACCGCAACCCCATAAAGTCAGACCCTGCATTTTAACAAGTTCCCTGGGGACTGTAACGCACATGGAAGCATGACAAGAACTGAACAGAGGACCAATGACAAAGACAAGGGAAGAAAGCAGAGTTCTAGAGTAATAAGTAATGAGAAACTGGTCTTTGACAGGAAGGGGGAGGGGTCACTTTCTCCACTTTAAAAGCAGGAAAGAGGGGCGCCTGGGTGGCGCAGTGGGTTAAGCGTCCGACTTCAGCCAGGTCACGATCTCGCGGTCCGTGAGTTCGAGCCCCGCGTCGGGCTCTGGGCTGATGGCTCAGAGCCTGGAGCCTGTTTCCGATTCTGTGTCTCCCTCTCTCTCTGCCCCTCCCCCGTTCATGCTCTGTCTCTCTCTGTCCCAAAAATAAATAAACGTTGAAAAAAAAA